GTCGTGTTCCCAGAGCGCTATTCCCGGCACGTATCCACTGGGACGCACCCTGTGCGCTTCCTCTGGGTCGTGCCCCCGCACGTATCCACTGGGACGCACCCTGTGCGCTTCCTCTGGGTCGTGCCCCCGGCACGTATCCACTGGGACGCACCCCTGTGCGCTTCCTCTGGGTCGTGTTCCGGCACGTATCCACTGGGACGCACCCTGTGCGTTTCCGAGAGACGAGGACGCTGGCCGCACGGGCATGTCGGATGAGCAGTGGTGGCTGCACCTCTACGTCATGATCTCCCGCGCCACGTGCATGCGGAACATGCTGATCCTGCGGCCGCCGCCGCGGGAGCTCCTGGAGCGAGGGCCGCCGGCGTCCTTGCGGAAGGCGCTGCTGGAGTTCGACAAGAGAGCGGTTTTGTCCAGGGCGGAGGCGGAGCAGCTCGCGGCAAAGCTGGGCTTCGTGCCGCCTCCCGCCTGAGCGTGGCTGCGCCCCGCTCGAAGCCCGCGGGGTTGTCCCAACGGTTTGGTCTTGCGCGCCAGCGGCTCGCGGGGTTGTCCCGACAGCCTGGCCCGCGGGGTTGTCCCAACGGTTGCGCGACGCGGCCATCAGAGAACGCGCCAGTCCAATGCTGGCCGAGGCGGCGACGGCGCCGAGGAACATCGACTTGCTTGCCCCGCCCAGGTGGAGGGGGAGGTGCACGTAGAGAAGCGGCAGGAGGAAGATGAGGAGGGGGAGGGTATGGGGGAGGGCGATGATAAGGAGGAGGTGGAGAAGGAGGAGGGGGAGGTAGACAGAGGGGGAAGGGAGAAATAGAAGAAGGAGGGAAAAGAGAGGGCAGAGGAGAGGGCGAGAGGAGGGTGTTTGCCATGGCCAGGAGGAAAGGGAGAAGGGCACGCAAAAAAGATTATCATGTGGGGTCCTTCCGTCGGAGTAATTGAAGGATTTTGGAATTTGCTTCTTCTCTGCATTCCGACGGCTCCAGACGGCCCAAGAGGCCCCCAAGATCGCCCAAGAGGCCCCCAAGAGAGCCCCATGACGGCCCAAGTGGCCTCCAAGATGGCCCCAAGAGGGCCCCAAGACGGCCCAAGAGGCCTCCAACACGCCCAAGATGGCCTCCAAGACGGCCCCGAAGCGCCCCAAGAGGGTCCACCGTTGGCCCAGAAAGGCCCCCAAGACGGCCCCCGACGGCGTCAGACGTGCCAGGAACCTACCAAGATGGCCGAAGTTGGCTCGAAACTAGCCCAAAAGGGGCCCAAGAGGCCCCCAAGAGGGCCTCCAGGAAGGCCGAAGAGGTCAAAAACATTGTTTTTCCTTAGGTTTTGTGACGCATTTTGGCATTTCCTTCTTTTCGGCCTTCCGACGGCCCAAGAGCCCCCAAAGATCGCCGAAAGATCGCCCAAGAGGCCTCCAAGACGGCCAAGATGACCTTCAAGACGCCCACGTGTTCCCCGAAGGCTTTCCAAACCGATTCGGGGAACACTCCAAGATGGCCTCCAAGATGGCCAAGATGGCCGAAGATGGCCTCCAAGATGGTCCAAGATGGCCTCCACGTCCGCCCAAGATGGTCCAAGACGGCCTCCAAGACGGCCCAAGAGAGTCCAAGACGGCCCAAGAGGCCCCCCAGAGGCCTCCCAGACGGCCCAAGAGGCCTCCAAGGGGTCCTCCAATCTCGCCCGAAGAGGCCAAAATCATTTATTTTTCCCTCGGTTTTTGAAGGATTTTGGAATCTGCTTCTTCTCGGCATTCCGACGGCTCAAGACGGCCCAAGAGGCCCCCAAGATCGCCCAAGAGGCCCCCAAGAGGGCCTCATGACGGCCCAAGCGGCCTCCAAGATGGCCCCAAGACGGCCCAAGATGCCTCCAACACGCCCAAGATGGCCTCCAAGACGCCCAAGATAGCCTCCACGACGGCCCCGAAGCGCCCCAAGAGGGTCCCTCGTTGGCCCAGAAAGGCCCCCAAGACGGCTCCCGACGGCGTCAGACGTGCCAGGAACCCACAAAGATGGCCGAAGCTGGCTCGAAACTAGCCCAAAGGGGCCCAAGAGGCCCCCAAGAGGGCCTCCAGGAGGGCCAGAAGAGGCCAGAAACATTGATTTCCTTAGGTTTTGTGACGCATTTTGACATTTCCTTCTTTTCGGCCTTCCGACGGCCCCAGGCGGCCCAAGAGCCCCCAAAGATCGCCGAACGATCGCCCAAGAGGCCTCCAAGACGGCCAAGATGACCTTCAAGACGCCCACGTGTTCCCCGAAGGCTTTCCAAACCGATTCGGGGAACACATGGTCCGATGGCTTGGCAGGTCTGGCCTCAACGTTCAGCCACATAAGCGCTTCCACAAATGCAGGGGGCGGCGGTGATTCGCCGTAGGCGTCTTCGATCCGCCGCCCCCTGTCGATTCATCGCAGGGGTGCCTGGCGTGCTAGACGATTTCGGTTTCGGTTTTGGTTCTTTTTCCCAAAGAACTCACCCTGGGGCTTCGGCCCGTCCCGCCGGGCACCCGGAAAGGAGCACAGTTCCCCAATTTTTCACTCAAAATGGCCCCAGATAGCCTCGAAGATGGCCACGTTGGCCCAAGATGGTCCACTATAACTTCCAAGTCCGCCCAAGATGGTCCAAGATGGCCTCCAAGAGGGCCCAAGAGAGTCCAAGATCCCTCCACGTTCGCCCAAGAAGCCTTCAAGACGGCCAAAGACGACCCAAGAGGCCTCCAAGAGGTCCTCAAGGAGGGCCCGAATATGCCCAAATCATTGATTTTCCATAGGGGTTTAAAGGGTTTTGAAATTCGCTTCTTCTCGGCTTTCCGACAGCTCAAGACGGCCCAAGAGGCCCCAAAGATCGCCCACGAGGCCTCCAATATGGCCCCAGGACGGCCCAAGAGGCCCCCAAGACGGCCCCCAGAGGGCCCCAAGACGGGCCAAGAGGCCTCCAAGACGCCCACGATGGCCTCTAAGACGGCCCCGAAGCACCCAAGGAAGGCCCCAAGTCGTCCCAGAGAGGCCGCAAAGACGGCTTCCGACGGTGTCAGACGGGCCAGGGGCCCACCAAGATGGGCGAAGCTGGCTCCAGGCTAGCCCAAGACGACCCAAGAGGCCTTCAAGAGGGCCCCTAGGAGGGCTCGAAGAGGCCAGAATCGTTGGTTTTCCTCTGGCTTTTGACGGATTTTAGCATTTGCTTCTTTTCGGCCTTCCGACGGCCCGAGACGGCCCGAGAGCCCCCAAAGATCGCCCCAAGATAACCCAAGAGGCCTCCAAGATGGCCCCAGAACGGCCCAAGAGGCCCCCAAGACGGCCCAAGACGGCCCAGAAGACGCCCAATATGCCTCCAAGACGGACCAAGAGCATTCCAAGGAGGCCCCAAGTCGGCCCGGAGATGCCCCCCAAACTGCTTCCGACGGCATCAGACGGGTCAGGAGCCCACCAAGACGACCGAAGATGGCCCTCAGATGGCCCAAGACGGTCCAAGAGGCCTCCAAGAGGGCCCCCAGAAAGGCCCGAAAAGGCCAAAATCATCCCCCATGAGTTTTTGAAGGATTTTGGCATTTGCTTTTTGGTCAGTCTTCCGACGGCCTGGCTCCAGGACGGCCCAAGTGCTCCCAAAGATCCCCCAAGAGGTCCAAGACGGCCCCAAGAGGCCCCCAAGACGGCCCAAGAGGCCTCCAAGACGCTCAAGATGGCCTCCAAGACGGCCCAAGAGCCCTCCAAGACGTCCCCCCCAGAAGGCCCGAAAGGGTCAAAATGGCCTCCAGACGGCCAAGATGACCTTCAAGATGCCCACGTGTTCCCCGAAGGCTTTCCAAACTGATTCGGGGAACACATGGTCCGATGGCTTGGCAGGTCTGGCCTCAACGTTCGGCCACATAGGCGCTTCCACAAAGGCAGGGGGAGGCGGCGATTCGCCGTAGGCGTCTTCGATACATAAAACATCCAATGCGGACCCGTATCGAGGAGGCACTTTTCTGGGTGCACCACCTCCTCCTCCTCCTTGTCTTCCCCCTCCCCCTCCTCCTCCTCCTCCTCCTCCTCTTCCTTCTCCTCCGCCCTCTCCCTCCTCCCTCCTCCCCCGCGGGCTTCTTCCTCTCCCTCCTCCAGCTCCTCCGCGCCCCGCTCCCCCCCCTCCTCCCAACCCGCCCCCGGCAGAGTCCTGTTGTTCACGTAGAGCTGCGGCCAGGCTGGACTCGGCAACTCGTCCACGAATGCCCCGGAGTACGCCAGATCCTGAAGAGCCAGAGTTAGGGCGGGCATGTCCCTCTACAGGCGGATTTTGAACGAAACACAAAAAACAATACGCAAAAATAGCAGGTCATGTTTCAAAACATCGTCCCCAGAGTTTCTTTTTCTTTGTTGTTGTTTGTTTGCTTGTTTCTTTCTTTGTTTGCTTTTGGTTTTTCTTCCAAGGTTTGAGTACTCCCCCTGTGGAGGGACAGGCCCGACCCTAAGCCAGAGGCCTCCTGGCCCCCTCCTTCTCCCCGCCTCCGCCTGGCCTCCCTCCTGCCCCCGTGCCGACGCCTGCCTCGGCCCTGCGGCCTCCCCTGCTCGAGCGTGGCCGCCTCCGAGCTCGCCCCGCCCTCTCCCGCCCCGCCTGCTCTGCCGCCCTCCCCTCCGCGCTGCCGGAGCGCTGCCGCTCGACCTCCCCCGAGGCCGATCGGAGCGGGGAGCCCGGTCCCGCGCGACATCTCTTTGGCGCACGCCTCCTTCGTCCCACCGTGGGCTCTCCGTGCCCCTCCGTCGCTCTGCCTCTCCCCGTCTCCGGCCCCGCCGAACACCCGTCGCGGCGCGGCCGGAGGAACTGCTGCGATCGTCCCCGCTCGTCTCTCACAGGTGCCTTCTCGTGCCCCTCTGCCGATCCTCCTGATCCTCGTCGAGCTCAGACGCATGACGCAGTCGATTTCCGCGTCCAACTCTGTGCGGCAACGTGGTGCCCCGCTTTGCAGAGAAGCTCCCGACGGGGAGGTGAGCAGTGCTTGACTGAGGCTCGAGGAGCGTGGAATGGTCCCTGTCTCAACTTTTGCTAGACCTAGATGTTTCAGGCGCGGCTCAATTACATTCCCTCGGCGAATTTCATCAGGTAGTGGCCCTACTGGGCATTTTGGCTTGGTGCCTATCTTTTATCGCCAGCAACAACCTGCCCATGCTGCCCTGGCGTGAGCGCCTTTGAGATCCAATCGCGCGCTACAAGGTGCATTGGGAAGGCGGGCATCCGCTGCACCTGCGGTGCCGACCTCCCCAAACAAATTAAGCAGATAGCACAACTCACGAACGGAACGCATATCTAGAGGCCTCCTAGACGATGTCCGAGCAGATGGGGTCGGAGGATCTCGCCGCATCGCCGATACACCGCCGATGCATCGGCGATGCATCGGCCATGCACTGGCGACGTCGGCGATGCATCGGCGACGTCGGCGTGGAGAAAATCGGGCCCCGCATCGAGCCGCATCGCCGATGCATCGCCGATGCAGTGGCGATGCGGCGCGGAGCTCCGACCCCCTCTGCTCCGACCCCGACTGGGAGGCCTAGGATACCCCTACTGGGCTCCTCGCTCGTGGGTGCAGACGTGCCCCGAATTCTCCGAGCAGGCGCAGCACAGCGCCTAGCCCCCCTGCCTGACGGCCTCTCGCCTGCAGGCAGCCCCTGCAGCTCGACCCGCCTCTTCGCCCCGTGGCCAGACCGCGCAGCGCGTGCCGCCACGTGAGGGCCCCGGGAGCTCGAGGCGGCCAGGGGGTCCGACCTGGATGGGGCCCCAGAAAATCGATCGAGGAGGGGGGGGGGCGAGGGCAAATCGGTCAAAACCGGTCCCCGGAACCATCCTGGGGACCACCCCGGATCCGCGTGTTGGACGGCCCCGGGGCGCGGCAAGGGCCTCCAGAGGCCGAGGCAGAAAACCCTCGTCGAATTCAGCACCTCGAACCTCCTGCCCCCCCCCTTCCTGCTCGCCGGCACCGGTGCTGGGCCGCCTCGGGCCCCCAGCCGGTTTTCCAGCCCGAGACCTCGACTGCAGGCGCCGCCCCAGCGCACGCCCCTTCACTGGAAGGCAGCGCCGGCCTGCCCCTGAAGCTCCGGCCAGTGGCCCCGGAGGGCGGCTTCGGCCGGCGCTTCCTGTCGGGGTGGGCGAAAGTGGCAGTGTTTGACCGATCCGTATCCCCACCGGTGTGGCCTTGGTCCCACTGGCCGATTCCCCCCCCCAGACATGGGGATGCAGGCTGCTCCCTTCGAGTGTCGAGGGGCCCAACATCCGTGGGACGGTGAGGGGGGGGGAACAGGGATCGGTTCAACAATGCTGAGCGATAAGGGGGGGTGCAGCACAAGGGCGGGGCCCAGACGTCCCATCCCTTCTCCAGGGCCGCCTTTTCGCCCCGAGTCGCTTTTCAACGGTCCCGGGGCCTGGCGAGGCCCCCTGGAGCTCGAAAACTGCCGAACACTTCCCGTCGTGATTTTTCGGTGCGACGCGAGGGGGTCCAGGAAGGCGGCGGGGGGGGGAGCACAAGGGCGCTTCACGAGTCGGCTGCACGTGCAGCCGGCTCCTCGGGCGCCCGCGCTGCGCCAGGGGCCGGCCGTGCACGGAGGGAAGCGCCCAGCGGTCCGAAGCCGGAGGCACGCCGAAGTCTTTCGTGCCCCTCGGCTGCGCGCACGAGGGGCCCCAGGCAGGAGCGGCCTCTGGTGCGCGCCTTTTTGTCCACCTGGGATCCTTCTCTCCCCCCTCCTCTCCAGGCTGCGCCAGTGTCAGGTCGGGCATGTCCCCCTACAGGGGGATTTTGGACGAAAAATCAAACATACCCCAAAAAAGCTCTAACAGAGTCAACAAATACTCAAAAAATCCGCCCCAGACTATTTCTGGACTATTTTTGAATACTCCTCCTGTAGAGGGACAGGCCCGACTCAACGCCAGTGCCAAGCCCGCGGGTACATCATACGCCGTCAGCGTGAAAAGATCGCCTTTCCTTGCCTCTCCCCTCCGCCCCCTCTCCCCTTTGCCCCTCTTCCTCCTCTCCTTCGCGTTTCCTTGCCTCTCCCCTCCGCCTCTCCCCTTTGCCTTAAGTCGGGCCTGTCCTCCCACAGGGGGATTTTTGGACGAAGAATCAACCAAAATGCACCAAAAATGGCCAGAAATAGTCAAGACATCTTCCCCAGACTATTTCTTGACTGACTCTTTTTGGATATTCCACATGTAGAGGGACAGTCCCGACTCAACCTTTGCCCCTCTTCCTCCTCTCCCAACTGGCGGTTCTTTTGACCCTCGCCCTCTGTCCGCGGTTCTGGCATTGACCCGAGGGCGACCCCCCCTCGCAGGAGCAGCAGCGGAACTTTCACGACGACCGAAGCGGTTGGAGTCGAAACTGCGCGCGACTACGGCGGCAGAGTTGCGTACAACGTGCTCTGCAAAAACAAGGTTTCTGGATCTGCCGGCCCATCCGCTGAAAAAATATGGGCGTGCTGACCCATCCGCTATCGTTTTGGGTCCCGGGGCTTCTGCTAAAATCGATCTTCGGGATATGCCGGCCCATCTGCTCAAAAAACGAGTGTGCCGGCCCATCTGCTATCGCTTTGGGCCCCGGGGGACTTTCCCAAACTCACCGAGCTGGGTACTTCTGATCCCTTCAGGACTTTCGGACACCCTGACAGGACGGGGCCATCGCTGACAGGATCAGGAGCTTGAAGGCAGGGGAGGGATGGGGGGCATCCCCATATAATTCAATCAAAATCCCCACTAACCCTGCGCAGTACGTGCAACGCAGGGAGCGGTGGACCGTCTCCCCATCCCACCATCATAGGGGGATGCGACGTTCCATGGAGACGGGACGGGGTGGGCATGGCTGGCGTCATAGCTGGCCCACCATCGAAAAGAGGCACCGTAGCTTCTATATCATCAACTGGAAGACTGATCCACTTATGGATCCAACTCAATTCCTCTCATGGGCATCATTTCACGCGAAGCAGCAGGATCTCTCCTCGAGTCGTGAAAAAGCACGACGGGAAATTTTGCCTACTTTCGGCCACTGGGGGCCCTTGACGGGCCTCGGGACCGTGGACTGATGACTCAGGACGAAAAGCCAGTCCAGGGGAATGGGTCGAGACCTCTGGGGGTCGACGCTGTGGACAACTCGTGAAGTCGGGGGCCTGGGGTGCGCAGCTTTGAGGGGGCCGCAGGAGTCACGAGCGGCGAGCGTATCCATGTCCACGCCCTTCGCGGTCTCGATTCTGGTGCGCGACCCCCGCCTCAGAATCGGTCCTGGACCCCTCCTGGTGTCCTTCCTGGCCAGCGTTCCGTTCCGGATCGACGTCTGACGGCCCCGAGGCCTGAAAACGAGCCCCCCCTGTGGCCAACCACGCCCCCTAAACTGGATGGTCGAACCTCGATCCTCGCAGACATCAGCGCAGGGTGGGGGCCCCCCGAGGGCTCCGCGCGCGGCAGCCGCGAAGAGAAAGCACGCCGTGCATCCACGGGGCCGCGGCTCGGGCGTCCGGGCCTCGCGGGGCCGTGGCTGCGGACACGCTCTGTCCGCTCCCAAGGGAGTGCAGCTCCAAGCGCGCAGGCCGGTCCCGGACCTCCTCGCGCCGTGGCAGGGACAGCACGACGGATAGGTTTTCGCCCCTTTGGGCCCTCGTCCTCGTCCTCGTCCTCGTCGTCCTCCTGACTCATGCCCCTCTTCCTCCTCTCTCCTGCTCCCGCTTGCCCCCCTCGTCTGGGGAAAAAGGGCTCGCCAAAAAAGCAACTCAGGCTGAGAAGCCGGAACCCGGGAAGGGGTCCAGACCTCTGGGGGTCGGCGTCATGAACAAAATCATGACGTCGGGAATCTGGGGGTGATCCCCGTGGGCGCGCACCAGAGAGGTCACTCTGGCGCAGGGCCACCCTGACCCAGACCTGCGACGTCGTGATTTCTCACGGCGCGGACTTTTAGAGGTCTATGCGACTTTCCCAGGACCTGCTTTTCATCCCGAGTTGTTTTGTGACTGTCCTGGGGCCTGGCGACACTAGAGAAAAACCCTCCGCCGTGTCCCTGTTTTCACGGCGCGAGGAGGTCAGAGTTACGCGAACCAGAATCCCCCCCTTTCGTCAAACCCGCGATCCTCTTGGGCGCACCTGGAGTGAGCGCCGCGCCCCCCGCCCGCGCACGAGAAGGCGGCGACCTGGACCAGGTGGTCCGAGGGGTTTCCCGCCCTCACCGACCAGCCACAGGTCGAGGGAACTGTGCTCCTCACCTCTCCCCACCTCCTCGCGTCGTGACAAAGTGGCGAGTGGTGGTGTTTGGTAATTTTCTGCCTCTGGGCGCCCTTCCCAGGCCTGGGGATCGTCGAGAAACGAGTCAGGACGAAAAGCTCGTCCTGGGGAAGTGAGCGAGACTTCCCGGGCGCCGATGCTCTGGAAAAGCCACGACGTCAGAATTCTGGGTCCTGGGGGGAACCCGTCGTGCCGACGACCCTTCGAGAGGGGCGCCGGAGCCGACGGGCTCCCCACGCGGGGGGCAAGGACCACGGCCCCAACCCGGCTGTGCCCGGCCCGCCTCAGAAGCTTCGCCAGGTCCATGCGGTCCGGCAGCCCGCCCAGCGCCGCGAGCGCGCGGAGGCCGTGGTCGTACAGGATGAGGTCCGTGGCCTTCCCCTCCGAGTGCTTGCAAGCAGATGTCCTGAGGGGCAAGGATAGGGGGGGAGTGGCATAGGGGGGGATGCATCGACCTGGAATCGGCGATACATCGCCGATAGATCGGCGATATGCTCCCGATCGTGAGTCCGCACCTTCCTGGGCGGGTTGGAGCCAGCGGGCCCCTATCGGCGATCAATGGGCGATTGGGGGTCGATGCATCCCCCCCCCATGCCTATCCCTCCCTATCGTTGCCCCCGAGGTCCAGGGGCTCCAACCCACCACCGACTCGCACGCGCTGCGCACCGTGCCCACCTCCGGCGGATCCCCGTGCGGCGGCGCCTGCTGGACGAGCGGCGGCAGCAGCTCTCGGGGCTCCAGGCCGAAGTCCCCGCACCACAGCAGCCGCGAGCCGCGCTCTGCCACGGCAGGGTCCAGGGCCGCCCGCACGCGCTCCGCGGGCTTCAACAAGTCCGCCACCAGGAGCTCCTCGCCCCAGTCCTTCGAAGAAGAAAAAAAAAAACGGCCTGAACATAAACTTCTGGCGCTCCGCGCGGATTTCTTTTGATCCGCGCTGGGCCCCCCGAGGGCGCCTCGGGCGCCGCCCCTGGCACGCTCCGCACGCCAGGGAGGGGGGCCCAGCGCGGAGCCAAGAAATCCGCGCGGAGCGCCAACAGTTTATGTTTATGGCGCTTTTTCTTTCTAATCCTGTGCCCACACCTCCGGGGGCTTGTAGCTGCACACGGTCAGCGGCGGGCACTCGGCTTTTGACACCAGCTCTACCACCACGGCAGTCTGGGTGATTGCCCAAACCCTTTCTGCGTGCCATCGGTTGCGCTTCCAGAATATGGCGTTACCGAGGCAGAGTGCGGAACTCGACGGCATGTGCATGGTAGGCGAAAATACGACGCTGTAGTTCGACCTGTTCATGTCCCGGTAGAGGTGCACCAAGTGGTTGGTTGCTGGCTCATCGTCGCAAGCGAACCATTCTGGATCCTTCTCGCTGCTGCGCTCTTTGAAGCCAATACTCTGAACGCCCTGGATGCATATCACGTCGGCGCCGTGCAGCTTGAGCTGCCTAACCAGCTTCCGCTGCCTTTCCTCCCAAGCGAGCACGCCCGAGTCCACCTGGCCATTCATGATCTGCTCTTGGATCTCAGTCACTTTTGGCGACTGTGCGTGCGAGAGGTCCGACGACACGGAATACGAGATCGCGCACACCACGTGCGAAGGGGCGAGCTGGCTGGACGGTCCAGCTATCGGCTCTGGATCCAGGAGAAACTCGGTCTCTGGGCTCCTCTCGACGAAGTCGAAGTAGCGAAAGCACGGCGTGTAGGACAGCTCGAGCACCGGCTGCTCCCGACTCTGCCGCCCCTGCTTCCAAGACAGGCGCACAGGCAAGCTGTCGCTGCTCTGGAAAACGGCCTCCAGCAGCCAGCCGAGCCCCTCCTGGTCGTAGCTGTTCAGGACGGCTGCGATGCGCGGCAAAGCCTGCATGTCCGAGACGCGGAAGAACGGGCGAGTGCCTCTGCTCTTTGGGTTTTTCGCGCGCCATGCATCCATCTCGCGGACGGCTTCGACCCTGGCCATGAGGACCTTGTTGTGCTGCAGGTTGAAGGCGTCGAAATAAAACGCGAAGAGGTCCCGCAACTTCTTCACGTCCTTCTCCTCGGGGTGCCACTTGGACCATGACGACCGGGAGGGCCTTTCCCGCCTCCGCTTTTCCCAGGCCTTGAGGCCAACGTCGGGGATGGCCTCGAGGGGGACGAGGCTCATACCGGATGCATCCAGCTGCGCGCCCTTCAGCTCTTGCGTAGCATCGCGCAGGCACGACAGGGCCGAGTGCGTGTCGTTGAGCTCGAGGCGTTTCAGCATCTTCCGCACGGCTGGGGTCTCCGCCAGGTACGCCAGCGACACCTCGCCCTCGCGCTGCAGCGTGGAGAGTATCTTCTTGTCGCTCTCGAGGATGTGCTCGAGCACTACGCGCAGGGGACGCCAGAGAGGCAGCAGCGCCACTGACCACTCGCCCGACTCGTCCGCCACCAGCTCCAGTAGCGTCGAGTCCGCCAGCGCAACGTGGACGATGCCGACGGAGGCATCATAGTCGCTGTCCGAGGGCGTCGCCGCGCCTTCCCCGACGGTCGCCAAGAGGCTCTGGACCGGGGGATGCTGAAGGAGCTCCAAGAACGGAGCTGGCCCGGGCACCCACTTCACCCTCTCCAACACGTAGGTCTCGCAGAGCATGCAGATACGCTCGGCCCCCGACAGCAGGCGCACAGCCTCCCTGTCCCTGTCGGCGACGAGGTAGTGGCAGGACTCGGGGCACTTCCTGATCGCCAGGACCAGCTGCTGCGGGTTGCCATAGCACAGTTCCGCCAGCTCTGTGTCTGCGGCGAACACGGCGTTGATGGGCACCCACCCGTCGGGCGCCGTGCTGTGGGCCAGTCGCGGGGGCGCGCTCTCGAGCACTGCCACGACCCTGGAGGTGAGCTTGGAGCTGCGGTTCGGGTACCACTCCCTCGTCTTCGCCCGGAGCCCAGAGCGCCTCCTCGAATGGCGCGCTGGAGGCCAGTCGCCCTGGCACTCCCCGCCCCACTCGGCCCTGGGAGCGTCGCCGCCTGCGGGGAACCAGACCCACTGCCCCTCGCCTGGGAGGCCGGCGACCGCTGCCTCGGTGGCCTCGCTCGCAGGAGGCGGAGCCGCCCCTGGCTCGGCGTCAGGCTGGCCCCCAGCGCCGGCCCACTCCCCGCCGCTCCCCTCCGGCGACGACGCGCTGCGGGCCCGCGGAGAGGGGCCGAGGGCGGGGAACATGCTGTAGCCCGGGGGCAGCATGCTGTAGACTGGCACGTAGTCGGCGGCGGCGTCGGCCTTCCCTATGGAGGAGCAGAAAGCTGCACAAACCCAGACTTTCCAAGGTCCGCTCGGAGGCGGCTCAGGAGCGTCCAACCGAGGTCCAAGAAATCCGCGCGGACCTCTGGAAACTTCTGTTCGTGCCGTCGTCTGTTCTTCGATTCCCAGGGCGCGCCCCTATCTTCGTCGGCGTCCGCCGCGCCGCCGCCGCGCGCGGGGGATGCGGCGCAGACGGTAGGCAGAAGGGGGCACCAGACCATCTGGCCGTCACCTGGCAGGGCGCCAGCCATGCACACCTGTACCTACCCATCCTGGCCAGGCTGGTCCCGGGCCCATGGGGCCAGTGTAGACTTAGGTCGAACATGTCCTCCTACAGGCGGGTTTTGTGGAAGAAAGATCAAACATAGTCAAGTACAGATACTCAAAGATAGCAGAAAAATCGTCCACAGACTAATTTTGGACTCTTCTTGAACATTCCTCCTGTAGGGGAAAGTGCCCGACTTAAGTGTAGACACGCCCGCCTGGCTTTGGCGAGGAGGGCCTGCACACACCGATCCTCGGACCATGATCGGTGCACGGGTGCATACCCAGAAAGAGCTCCAGCGCCGTGCTTTTTCGCAACGCGCCCCCTCGCAAAAATTTGGACCCCTCCCCTGGCACCGACCTTCATCCCGAGTACGTTTTTCACCGTCCTGGGCCCCTGTGGGGCCAACCAAATGCCGACAAATGTCCCAAACCTCTGCCGTGAGTTCCCCGCAGCACGAAGAACTCTGTGTATTTGGCCGCTTCTGGAAACCCTGCAGGGCCCCCAAATGTTGCCATCTCTTGGGGGTGCACTTCTTATCCGCTGGCTTCCGTCGGCGGAGGCGGCCTGGTGTTACTTCCGCGGGCTTCCGCCGCCCCTCCGCCGAAGAAAAGATGCCCACGCCTGCGGTCCTCGCAATCGAGGCCGCTTCTGGAACGCCTCTGTCCCATATCCCTGGCGTCACGATTTTTTCCTAACGTGGACCCCCAACGGTCTGGCTCCATTCCCCCGCACCGGTTTTTCTTCCGGCGTCGTGTTTTGACGGTCCCGAAGCCCGGCAAAAAAAAAAAAAAAAAAATAAAGATAAAAAAAGAAAAATAAAGAAAATAAAAGAAAAAAAAAAATAAAAAAAAAAAAAAAAAAAAAAAAATAAAAAAAAAAAAGAAAAAATAAGAGAAAAAAAAAAAAAAAATAAAAAAAAAACAAAAAAAACAAAAAGGGCCCACAAGAGGCGAAAACAGCGAAAACCTCCCGTCGGAAATTTCCAAAGGGCTGAAAGAGGCCCGGGTTGGGCGCCCCTCCGACCGCCGGGGCCACCGCACTCCGCCCCAGCGGTCCCGCCCCGCGGCCCCCGGCAGCCATGGGGGCGACGGCGGGAGGGCGCTGCCGCCGCGCCGCGGACGCCGCCGAACGCGGCGGCGCTCGGCGGCGCGCTGGCGCCTGGCGGCGCGGCGGCGCTCGGCGGCGTGTCGCTGGCGGCCTCGCGGCGGTCGCTGCCGGGCGAGGGCGTGCGGAAGGCGCTGTCGGGCGTGCTGCCCGCCGCGTCGAGCTCGTCGAGGGCGTCCGCCGAGAGGTCGTCCTCCCGGCCGGCGCTCGGCGGCGGCGAGAGGAGGAGGCCGCGGGGCTGTGCGCCCTCGCCAGGCTGCGGGGCCTTGCGCGGGCGAGAAACATTTCTTGTGCGGCAAGGGAGTCCCTGAGGAGGCTCGAGTGAGTCGCAAATGCAACAATTGTTTTGCAACACGTCTTATGCGGCGGCCCGCGGCTGTAACCGCATGACCAGGATGTGGGTCGAGCCAGCTTGTCGAGCCAGCCAGCTTGTGGCGAAACACGTATCCGTATCCGCGGCCTCGCGGCCAAGGCCCCTGGGCCGCGATTCCGCGGATACGGGGTGATCTTTCGCGGATGCCCCGCGCGGAACGTATCCGTGCGCCCACGGAATCGCGCCCCAAAATCCAGGCTGCGAGGGCGCGGATACGGATATGCTCGCTGCTTGCGAGCCTTCGCGGTCGCGCGCGAGGCGGACACCTCCACGAGCTCGGAGGCGCTCAGGGCGTGGCGCAGCACCTGGAGCCGCTCGGATGCCTCGGGCACGCCGGCGAGGAGCTGGCCCAGCGCGCCCCCGTCCAGCAGGTCGAGGAGGCTGGCGCTGCGGCTCGGGGCCTCGAGCACGCGGCTCTCGGCGGCCGAGCGCACGCGCTCGGACATACTCCGCAAGCGCACCGCCTTCGTGGCCATGTCCACCGCGATGGGGGCGTGAGGGGGGCCCGCGCGGATGGCGTCGGCGACCCTGCCGATGGAGCCCCCGGACAGCTCGAGCAGCTCCGCGCACATGCCGATGGCGTCGATGATCGGCACCGCCCCGGTCGAGCGGCAGCACTGGGAGGCGCCCAGTGGACTTTGGAGCCAGCGCTCGAGCACCTCTCGGGCTCCCAGGCATCCAGCGGCTCGAGAAAACATCGAGACGCTGGGGTTTTCCTCCACTCCCCAGGGCCGTCAACAAAACGACTCGGGATGCAACGACGGTGCCGGGCAAGGGGTCGAGAGACCTGGGGGCCCATGCCTCGAACAGAAGCGAGCCGCGGGAAGTCCGGGGTGGAGGGCAGGGGGGGAGAATGAGGGATAGCATCATGAGAGGAAGGACGAGGATGAGGATGAGGATGAGGATGAGGATGATGTTGATGCTGCTGATGATGATGACGATGATGATGATGAGGATGATGATGCTGCTGTTGCTGATGATGATACTGAGTAGGATGATGATGATGATGCTGATGGTGATGATGATGATGATGCTGATACTGATGATGATGCTGATACTGATGATGATGATGATGATGAAGTTGATGAGGATGATCTGGTGGTGATAATGATGCTGATGATGATGCTGACGACGAGAATGCTGATGCTGATTCTGCTGATGATGCCAATGGTGAGCATGCTGCTGCTGATGATGATGTGGATGAGGATGATGATCATGCTGCTGATGATGGTGATGATGATGACGATGAGGATGATACGTATGATGATGAGGAGGATGAGGATGCTGATGCTGCTGCTGCTGATGATTATGATGATGCTGATGATGAAGAAGATGATGATGTTCATGATGATGGTGATGTTGATGATGATGATGCTGATGGTGATGATGATGGTGATGATGTCAACTCTGATGCTGATGATGAGGAGGATGATGATGAGGATGACAACGAGGAGGATTATGATGATGCTGCTGCTGCTGCTGATGATCGCACTCCCCTGAGCGCGCCAGAGAGGGGGGCAGTTCAGCTGCCCTCTGCCGCGGGCCTCCTGATGAGCAGGCCCCGCACGCCGCGCCCCTTCTTGGCAATGTGGCGGGCACGCGCGCGCAGGAGAGGCAGCAGGCATTCGGGCCCGTACCTGTGCGAGCTCCTCAAGGAGTTAAAGGTAGAAAAGAGCAGGTCGTGGACAAGAAACAGAGAGAACAGCTGCTGACTAGACTGGCATGGCATAGTGCACAGCATACGCGCATCGAGGCTCTGATTCAAATATTCGACTGGCAGGAAGGGCAAAACAGAATGGAGCAAGCTCAGGACATGAGGGCAATCGAAGTAATGCTGGACGTGGTCGCCGCCTGTGGCCAGGCAACCGAAACGGCAGGTAAGACGGCCTTGCCTTTACCTGGCAGAGGTCGCCCACGCGTTGCAGATGGTTTTGAGAATGGCCGCAGCCACAAATGGGCCGACGCGCGTGCAGGCAATTTGGAGCCTGAGCACCGCAAGGTCGATACTAGAGGCATCAGCAAAAGGAAAAGCGAACCGAATTCGATTGCCCAGGAGAAAACTCGCGGAGCTACAAGGGGCCTCAGAAAGCAATTTCTTCAACATCTGTCTCTGCAACTCGTGAGTGTCCTCATCGAAGTGGTTCCACGGCAGGGCAGTTAGTCGCTCGTAATTGTGAATCAGGTGGAAAACAATGGACTCGGCACGCCATGCCGGGTATCGCTTGACCATCAGAACATCCAAGTCCTCTTCCTCAAGCTCATGAAAGCGCTTCCGAATGCTATCAAAAACCTTAGACCGAACAGCGACCCGATACATGGCAGCCTGATTCTCCAGCACTAGGTTGCGCGGGGCAATGGGCCAATGCAACGCAGACGAGAGATTGCGGAGAAGATCAGTAGGGATGCTGTTGAAGGGGCATGCGGTGAGAGTCTGCAAACCTTTGGTTTCCATGCGAAGAGCGTCCTGCGATATGTAACATAGCTGCATCACGAAGGTGAGAACCGAGAAGGCCAATGAGTTATATGCATAGATACTTTGAGTAAGCCCAAGACGAAGCGACCGAACATGACGGACACGATTAATATATTTCTGAAGCGGAGCGGACCAGGATTTCCCGTTACCTCCAGGGCCCAGAAAGACACCCAAGACTTTGCCACTAGTGCCGTGCATAAGCGAGCGAACGTTGGTGCGAACGGACTCGAACAGGGCGAAATGCTGGTCGTCTGGCATCTCTTGCACGTGCACGATCATACACTTGGCAAGGTTCAAGAGCAGGCCAGTGCAACGGCTGGACCTAATAACATTCTTCAGCACAATCGGAACAGCGAGCAACAGGTTGGATGCCGAGATCCGGATGTCATCTGCAAAGGCACGAGGGGTAGCACAAACAGGAGCTAGCAAGTTTGACAATCGGCGCAGCAGCGGGTCGATGCATAACGCAAATAAAGCACCTGACAGCGGACATCCTTGTTTAATGCCTTGGGTGATCGAGTAGCCTGGAAACTTCTTTCCTGCTAGGCATATGTGTGTGTAAATACCGGTGTATAGGAACCGAATGGCATTCACGATATACATGGGTATGTTCATCATGATTAGCACATCTATGATCCAGTCGTGGCGCAGCGACGGGAACGCGGCGCGGAAATCCAAGAGGAGTAGCCCAGCGTGCGGCATGCCGCGATAGCAGGCGTATTCAAGAATGTCTGCCTCAAGGCAGAGCAAGTTGTCGAGCATAGACCTCTTGCGCACGAAACCCGTCTGGGAGCCTAAGACGCTGTACTGGCATTGTTGGCTAAATGGTTCGCATATGGCCAATGGTACTATTTTGTTATCAGTGTTGCTGAGAGCAATAGGGCGCACCACAGACGCTTCCCGAGAGATCTCAGAGGTTCCAGCTTCGTGAGGGCAGATGGCCTTAGGGAGGTATACCGTGAGAGACTCGTTGAAGCCTTTATGCGGGGGCCCATATGTAGGATTGTCCAATATAGCGAGATAAACTTGATACAAGGCATTGTGAGCAGCGTCTCCAGCGAACCGCCATGCACTGTAGGGAATTCCGTCAGGGCCAGTCGCGCTGTCCTTGCGGCTGACGAGCTTACCTATGAAGCTATGCAGGTCGAGCGTCCACTCGATACCTGGGGCAACCTGCTGAATCTCACTGCTCAACAGTGTCTTCTGGAAGTGGTATCCCCTGTCCTGAGGCTTCGCGGCGTGGACCCGCCCCCAGTGGGACGCAAGGTTCTGAGCACTGACTTCGAGATCAGGCGAGGGGTTCCCGGTGGGGTCGGGGACCGAAGCCAGAACGATTCGGCGCCTTTTGGGAGACCACTGTCGCAGAAGCTGGTGCAACCTGAGGCCTCGATCGTCGTCGGGGGCTCCGCCACCTTCGACGTGTTCGCGAATTTCTCGCTGAAGCAGAGAATGCTGGAGCTCGGCCATTTCCCGATAAAAAGACACAGAATCTCTAAAACAACATTCATCAGCATGAACATGTAGACTAAGATGAGGAATAGCCTGGATACACCTCCGAACGTCCCAAGACTTGCCATCCCGAACAGCCCGTAGAAACTTAAGGTAAACCGACAACTTCTGCGCATCATTGTTGGGGCCTCGGAAGAACATGCGAGTCATCAGAGCATCCTTGGCAACATACATCGCGTCTTTGACGGACAGGAGGTACTCGAACGGGTCCCTGGGCATTTCAACCGAACTTATGGCAGCATCAACCTCAGAACCAAAATCAGGATGTTTGGCAATCCAGGAGGGGATCGTCGGGGTAGTTCTGCCGCCAGGCGAAAACTGAAGCCAAACAGGAATATGGTCGCTCGGCTGGGCGACATCGTGAGCAAGACCTATGACACCGCTACTTGGTGTCGCATCAAGAATGTCGGTGGTGGCAGAAGAGATGTAGAACCTATCCAGGCGACCAAGGCTGAGAGCACCGTCCTCCCTCCTCCCAGTCCGATGAGTGGGCTCCTGTTGGGCAACTTCAGCAAAGTGTCCGAAAGCCCGAGAAAACATGTGTAGAATAGCGGTCCTCTCAGGGGTGGGTTCCCTTCCGTCTGTGAACGTCCTCATCTCCC